TTTTTTTTTTTTTTTTTTTTTTTTTTTTTTTTTTTTTTTTTTTTTTTTTTTTTTTTTTTTTTTTTTTTTTTTTTTTTTTTTTTTTTTTTTTTTTTTTTTTTTTTTTTTTTTTTTTTTTTTTTTTTTTTTTTTTTTTTTTTTTTTTTTTTTTTTTTTTTTTGTGGTGGGCATAGAATATCCACTGTCATCTGATTAATTTATACTATTCCCATAGCCTTTATTCCAAGCAAGAGATTTCAGTAACAAGGCTCTATTCATAGTCCACAGCTCACCTCATTTTATTTCGTTAGGGCAGACTATGCCACTGCCAGTTTTGCAATGTTTTAGCTGACCTACTTCATGCTTTAGGCACAAAACTTCAGGAACAGGAAGGAAGCAATCAATCAGGAAAACAGAACAAAGTAAACCATTTCCCTAGCAATCCACATGTCTACAAGTAGCAAAGACCAAGAAGTGCCAAAAAACAACACACTTGTGGGACCAAAGATTTAAATTGATTTGCACATTTAGTGTACTTTTATGACTCAAGAAAATGAGAATGTTTCCTTGTGGGTCACTTATCTGAGCAAAGAGTGACAACCAGTGCCAGTGCAAGATTTGGTGCCACAACAATGTGTGTTAGAGAAAACACTTTTACAGGTGCCTGTGGAAGGAGCACTAAGTGTTTGACTACGTGGCAGAATAGTTTGCTGTCAACAACATACGGAATCAGCACTGGATAAAAAACATATCACTCAAGCAGACTTTTTAAATGGCTTCAGTATGCAATTCTGTAAGGTTGGGTAAAAGATCAGACAAAGGCAGCTCCTGCCACAACTCAGCGTTGTTACACTTCCCAGAACCACTCTGAGACAGAACAAGGGCTCTACAAACTTACCCCCCCCCCAGGTCTCTAACCTTGCATGCGCTATGAGCCAGAGATCAGAGACATGGAAACACTAATGCACACAAATCCATCTTCATGGAAGATTACAGATCTGTCTCACTGTGCCTTAATGCAAGACAATAACAAACTATGAGGAAGTGGTCTCATATCAACAGTATAGAAGTGAAAGAACTGCAGAGCCTTACCTAAACTCATCCTGCTGTTCTGCTAGCTGATCCATCAAAATCTGAAGCCGATCCCACCTCATCCGACTGCACTCTTTATGGAAGTCAAATGCTACGTATCTGGTCAGAGAGAGAAGCACCTTTTCAGATCACATATGTACTGCAGGAATGGTTTCAGAAAACTCAGCAAAAGGCTGATCTATAAAACAGGTAGTGACAGAGGGTTTGTTTTTCTTTAGAGATGGCTTCCAGCAAATCTGTGGCTTTTGTCAGCACTCTGTAATCTTCCTGAAGCTGCACCCTTAGGGTGCCTGGTGACATCATTTACGATTCTTTCCAAAATGCAACTAGCTTGGGGAAGCACACATTCCATTCCAAGTTACTCACTCTATACTCTGGCTAGTAGTTTTCCTCCAGAAAGTACACAAGGGATATGAATCTTATTTAATCTCATTTCATTTTTTTCCCCCCAGGATTCTTTTACCCTCCTCTCTTCCAAGGAACTGCATAGGGAACTTCTGTTCACTTTGAACCAGACACAGGTGTCAAAATGCAACATTCTTTCCCGGCACAATTCCCTTGATAGCTCTCTAGAAACCTGAGACAGGTTCTGTTTGAACACCTAACCTATCTCTGTCTAAGAAAACTGAAAAGCTATTGACCTGGAACAAGATTTTAACAGCCAATTAGGTTTCTGCAAGAAATGCTCTAATTGAGTGGTGCTTGATTAAACATTTGTATGTATATGTTTGCTGTGAATTACAGGGCATTACACTCTTCTCCTCAAGCATTTGTAACCCAAAAGTTATTATTTGACAAGATTTCAGGACTATGTGCATGAAGATGGTACATACACACTGAAATGAGTAACTGAAGGCTCAAGGCTGTCAGATAAACACCATCAAAACCAATTAACACAGAAAGTGAATTTTGGTAGCAATAATAAACTGGGGCTGTCAAACACTGCTTTGGAACATAGACAGACACCACCAGAACCCACCCTGACATAATTTTACAGCTTTGTTTCCACCAGATGACTTTATAGCAAAGATGCACAGAATTCCACAAGCTTTATACAGCTGAAGTATCAACACCAGCCTAGGTGTGAGAGCAAGCAAAGAGCTTGCTTTAGAAGTGGTCTTTTTTAATAAAAATAAAAGAAAAATACACATCCACACACCAGTAGCACACACAAACACACCCCTGAAGGTAGTAAAAGGGGCTTGGAAAAAACTCAGAGTATGTCAGGATTTAGAAGGGAATCTTGAATATAACCTGTGATTCTTTAGTTATCCTTAGACAGACATGAATCCTTATTAAACAGGATGCCTTCAGCCTAGAGGTGGGATTTTGCCTTTTAACATACATGAGTGATGATAATATGGTACAGTAATTTCAAGGACAAGGCAGAGGCAAGCATCTGTGGGAGTTGGATGTTAGCCCTCCCTCCAGAAGTTAATGAGAGCAAGCACAGACAGGTTGTAAAATTGCATACTGCACTCAATATTCCCACAAAGAGATGGAATTTCTCATGATTAAACTGCATCTCCACTCTCTTGGCCCATTATTACTGAGCTCCAGACATTTAAATTACTTGTTCCCCTTATTGTTCCCTCGTTCGTCTCAATCCTGTTTTGTTCAAACTCAGCACTCACTCCCTTCCCAAGTTAGCAATGTAACCAAGCCCTTTTGCCAGAAGCTAGTTCTCGAGGGCATGATTTTCTTTCTCCTAAAATGTGGGTGATTTCCACAGCTCTCATTGCACACTATGACTCCAACACCGGCCTTACCATTGCCTCTGAATTTCCTTCTTTATTCTGCCTGTCTCCTCTCTTTGTCCCGTATTTGTTTCACAGTCTCAATTCTGCTTAGAATGTGAGCTCTTAGGTAGGAAGGGGCATGGGTATTTGCAAGTTATTTCATAAAGGTGAAATGAAAACAAATCAGAGGGCTGGAAAAGGCTCTGACAGCCCTGAGGGATTCAGAGGCAGGGCTCAAGTAGTAACACAGAACGTATCATTTCATGTCACATGTACCTGACCATTCCATTTGCCATGCTGTTCACCATTTTCGCAAATGTTTGCTCAAGAGGCTTCTCTGAACCTTTTTGGTTAACCTGTGAAAAGGGGAAAAAGGAGACAGTACTACTCAAAGCTTGCTTAAAAGAACAACAGTTTTTTCAGGGAGAAAAAGTGAAAGCATACCAAGTTGACAATCACTTGCTTTCCATAGCTAATTATTTGCGAGTCAAAATGTCTTTGGAAGCCATCCATCTATAAGAGAAAAGAAATGTGTTGACAGATTTGCACTTTACAAGAGATCTCCATTATCATCTTTTTGACAATTCTTATAACTAAGAAAAGTGTTTGATGTCTTCTATTGTGCCAATATATTTCTACTTTCATCCTCCCAGTCCATCCAGCTGTCCTTATTAAACGTGCTACAGATAAGGGGTATTGTGCTGCTACTAAAACTGCTGCAAACAAGATCCAAAGAGAAACCACCCCCACTGATGTCCGGATTTTTTTCAGCTTTTGAATTCATCATAAGGAGTACAAAGACTCTTGCTACTACTTTTAAAAAAAATAAAGCTCAACCTAGTATTGCTGATTTTTATTCTTCTGATTACAGTTTGCTACCTTATCACACAAACATGGGCCAAAAAACTTATTAAAACCCCCAGGACTCAAGAAACACTCACATACATGATTTACTGACTTGCTGATCTGTGGCTTTGGTTTATACTTGAGGTTTGGTCTTTGAGACCAGAAAAAAGGAATTGATCCACGGGTCTGCAAAAGAATGGAAACGGCTTTAAACAACAGAATTTACAAACTTACTCGGCATTTAAAAATAAAGCAGACTGGTTTATTCTGTTAAACTAACTCGGTCTGTTTGTTTAGTTTTGTTTGCATATCTTATATAAAATCTATGTTTAAAGACACAGACAGAGCTATTTATCTTTGTATCTCAAGCCAGTGAGCAGTTCTTTACAGTGACTTTACCTGAACGAACGATGCCTTGCTCCCCTTGTAATGCACAATTTGTTCTGTTTCAACAAAGTTAGCAGCGTGCCCTTCTGAATCAATACCTATGTAGGAAAAAGACCCTGTTAACAAGCTCACGCTGCCTGCAGAACAGTGATGGTATATCAGCAAAAGACTCCCTTTCCCCTCCCTGTAAGTCAAGTCCTCACAGCAAAGAGAGCTGCAGAACGACGTTAAATTAAATACACCCTGGGTAAATGTTCAACATGATCTGCACCAAATTTAATGCTCAGTTTAAGAACAGTTCTGCTAAACATATTTTCACATTTCTAGCATTAGAAATTGTAATTTAATATGAAATAAAATACCAGTGCTCTGACACTGAAATATTCACAATTCACTACAAAACTTTTGCAGTTACCTCTGGGAGAATAAGAGTCAGTTTTAACAAACACCCAAACATGCTTAAATTCTAATACACATTCCTAATATTTTCTTTGGAGGAAGGACCTCAAGACAAACTAAGCATTTTTTTTTGCACAAGTCATTATACAGCAGTTACTCTTAAAAGTCACATGTACAGATAGAATTCGTATTATTTTTGAAATAAATCAATTTTCTATTTTACCTCTAACATAGTAGCGCACCCCAGCCCTGAAACAGCTTCTTCTGGAAACAAGCAGCCAGTCAAAACACTTGCCATTAATAGAACAAGAGTGCATAGTGATAACTGATGAATAACACTAAGGAAAAACCCAACACTTCATTAGGATATTTTTATACATCAAGAGGTAGGAAATATCAAGGAACCAAGTGACTACATTCAAAGAAATTTGTAAACACTTCTCACACCAGCAACAGTTAACCATTAAACCTGAGAGACAGTAGCAGTATTAGGATCAGTATGCACATCACAAAAAGACTCCCTACGGCGATGTCATTGATGAACAAGCATTAAAACTGCTGTAATTTTGAGAAAACTTGATTCTATAGAAGATTAACCTGGGTCTTATGGTCCTACTTAAAAAATCCATCTCATCTATAATTTCATTAGACTACCTTAACAGTTTCTTGCTCCTACTGCTTTTAACAAAAAATACCACTTCAAAACTTTTTTCTAGGATTTTAAAAGAGTGAATATCTTGGGGTGTATATCTTGCACTCATAAGTGCAATGTACATCACATTTACAAATGCCAGAACTAGCAGTAACAGACTGGCTCCACGCAGAGAAAAAGAGTGAACACACACTAAGTCTCCAGTGTGAGCTTCCTACACAAAAATTGTTTCCCGCCCAGGCTACGTACCCAAAGTGGCAGATGCACCATAACCTAGGACTAATCAACAAGCAGGGGCCACTGACAACAAGTTGCAGTTTTAATCTTGGCCTGTGCTGCTTATAATGGCACTTATTTGGTAAGCTGTCAAGTCTAATAGAGACCAGGACTCATCATGAAAAATTTCTCTAGGTAGGTTCCCCAGCTTTGCCCCTAAAAACTGAAACCTACCACTTTAAAGCAAGCCAAAGATCAAAATGGTAATTTTTTTTTATTAGCATACTGCAGCCTTCTCCTCTTTGAGGAAGCTAGATACTTTGTTTCAAGGTTGGTAAAGTAAACAAGATACAGTTTCCTTTTTCAAAACAGCATGTTTTACAGTGAAATTTAGATTCTACATTTATGATTCATTTATGATTCTGTCACACACTAAGCGATGCTAAAGAGCATGCTGACTGCATACATTGAACATCTTGATTTATATTTGTATTTATGCCAATACTGTTTGTAAAGAATTCAAAAAATATAGTATAAGTTGGCCCCATCCAGAATGTTCTCACAATTCATAAATCAAGGCTGAAAAATGCCTATTCCTCTGCTTTCCTGGAGAATTACTGCCAGGTCCTACAGCCTTTAATTTAACATTTCTACAGCCAACAGTTTCCTGCAAGAAAGGTTACCTCTAACCTTACCTAAGAGGTAACCTAACAGGTTACCTCTTACCTGAGCTGCTTGGCAATAGTCACTCTATCTTCTGTTCGCAATCTTTGTCCTTTCAATGAGAATTTACTACTGGCAGCTTCCACACACAAAAAAAAGGAAAAGATGTGATTTGTTATTTTTTAGAAGGTTTTTTTTTTTTTTTTTTGTGAGGAGCAAGGGAAATATTAAACATAGTTTAGGGTTTCTAGGTGATCAAAGTCTCAACTACCCAATTAAGTCTGTTATTTTTCATCACTGCAAGACTAGAACCCCAGTCCACATAGTTGAAAAAAATATATTTAGGTTTCTATGGGGAGGAAAAAAAAGAAGCTTTGATTTTATTGAAATAACTGCTAGTGGTACTGCAACAGTTCTGCTTAGGGCTCTTCCTAGTGTGTTTATCACCAGAAATCTAGTTTCTTCAAATTTCTGGGCTCTCTAAGGTGTTTGGTTAGTATTACAACAAGACATACGTTGCTTATGCTAATTATTTATATAGTGGAAAACAGGACAGAGGAAGGTGTTAATTGCACTCTGCCATAAGTATTGGGCTGTTTTGACAGTTCCCTTTTGCTATCTTTCCTTGCCTCTCTGCCTACTCCCACAACATCTTCCATTAAATGAAGTCACAGGAAAGGAGGACTGGAGATCTGCCAGCTGCTGACAGTCCTACCAGATCAAGTGATTCCATTTGGAAGCCATTCCCTGCACACATCTGAGGGGCCTCTGCAACGGAGGAATGAAGCACAGCGTGGCATTGCTCTGTCCAGTCTAGACAGTCCTTTTCATGCTGCCAGTACAGGAGCAACTACCTGGGACTTACAGTTGATCACACACTGCCTCCAGAAAGCATTTGGCTTACTTGCAGCATACAACCCTCCTCAAAAACAAACTCATGACTGCTTTGCTAAAAAGGCTGTTACCCAAGGTGTTGGTGCAGGAAAAGCAGCTGCCTAGGAGGAGCATCCAGGAAGCCTTCAGTAGAACTTCTTATCCTTTTATTCATCAACAGGAACATACATAATCACTCAAGTCAAAACTGTTCTCCCTTATTTTATATCCAAAGTAAATGCATCCTTATAGCAGGATAAAAAAGTACTTAAGCTGATGTAAGATCATCTGCCATATTAATCTTAACCTTCAATCCCACTGAAAGACAGTTATGCAAACCAAAAAAAGCCACTAAAATACATCAAGCAGAATATTCAAGGGAGTTAACATATGAGTGGGCTATCAATATGTAATGCTCATATATGAACAAACTGACATTGTGCTTCTATGTTATCACTGCCAACATAGCAGTAGAGCAGCCTCACCAGCAACCATTTTGCTACTGGACTACCCATATTCAGCATTGAGTTTTACAACACAAAAGGATACATCCATGCATCACTGGCGTAGCAAACCTATGGATCTGAAACACACAAATAACACGTTAGAAATATTGAACACTAGCAGCCACAAAAAGATAAGTGAGTGACTATGCTTTGCCTAGGAATTCTGGGATAGTTTTTGTATACTTTATATGCTTTGTTTTTTGCTTGGGGTGCAGTAAAGCTGAGAAAAAAAGGTTTAAGGAAAACAGCAACATATGTAATCCTTATTAGTAGGAGGGAAAAAGTGAAAGTCTAATCCTAATTAAGCAGCCTGGACAGAAAGCAAGCTGCTTTGTCCTCCTATACATAGCATTTACTCTCCCACAAACATGCCAGATATAAAGCAGTACATGCTAAAAGCCTTTTGACATGGTATTTGCTATACGTCCACAGTAGGACGTATGCAAGGACAGTAGTTAACAACACAGGATTTCAGTACGATATATTTATGGGATTAATACTCAAAATGTTTGTTACAGATTTTTTTCCCCATCCTGCCATTCCTGAATAATTTGGCCTTTCAAGAAAACTTTGAAGTTTTCCAGTACTGGTAGTCAGAAGTGCCACATCTCATCACCCAAAACTGCTCCTGTAGGAAGCCACCTTCTGTGGCTGTGCTAGGCCACGCTTCCCCTCACATATCAGTTATCTCCCTTCTCAGCTTCTGTGTTTTGACTCCTACGTCTGTTTTCACTAACCAGCCACACTTGGCTTTCTTTGCTGTTCTCACACAGCTTCTCTCCCATTTCCCAAGCTTTGTTTGCATAGCACTATCCAAACCTTGTACCCAGTCATATGCCTCCGGAATATGCACAACAGCCCTTCGCTAATTCATATCTTCACATTCCAGAAGCACTGCACAATCCAGCCTTTTGGAACAGTGCTGTGTAACGTAACAGCACATCTCCACAGGTTACTGGGACAGAAATAGAAGCAGTGCGTCATTCGCTTTGATAAATGCGAAGCCCTGATGGGGAGAGGAGGCTGCTGTAGTGCAGGCAATTCCAGAAGTTTAGCACATCTGATGTCTCCAATAGGAAGGAGCTTAGACAGTCTGGCCACTGAGGTACTACAGCTGTGGCTTGTGGTCATAACGCTTGTATTTGATGGACCACATGAACTCCAGAGGTTACAGTGTGCTAGTCTTCACCTGAGATAAACTGGAAGAATCTAAACTGTCAGTCTTACTCTTAATTACCAGGTTTATGACCTGTTCACGGGGCAAATGGAATTTAAACTGCACTCACGGAGGAAAGTGTGAGACAGTCTTACAAAACAAGTGATGAGCTGAACCTTGCCTATACAAAAAGATAACTAAGTAGCTAGAATTCAAAATCCTTGAGAAGCATGTGCTGTGCCGTGTAACTTCTGCTTTGGTTTATATGAGCAGGCATCTTCACGGCACGGTATCTTTGAATACAGACACTTCCAAAAGTCAGCTTTCTAGAAGTTCTACTGAGGACATGGATATAAAGTTGGAAGTTTGAAAGCAGAGGACTCACTGTGCTAAACTAGATGATGAATAGCCACGTTATACTAGACTCTGGCTGTCTGAAAGAGACAGAATTACAAAAAACTGTTGCATAGTTGCAGTTAAAGGGGATTTATTCTCTAATAATCTAATCATTACGAAGTGTTTACCTCTGGTTGGGCAATAAATTCTCTAAGAAGGTGTCCATTCCATACAAACCGTGGATCTGCCTGCAGCAAGAAAAAAAGCCAACCTGCTTTTAGAGACTGTCAGTTCTGTTTAATTCAACACAAAGGTGGCATCACAGTATCCATGCATCACACAAATTTAGGTGAACAGATAAAAACAGAGATGAAATTCCCTTCTTTCATCAACCTTCATATCCTCAACTAGAAATCTAAATAAGAATAGTTAAAAGAACAGTTCTCTCCAATTTTTAAGGATGTTGCCTGACACTTCAGGCACACTAAATCATCACCGAGCTGCATTTATTGGATGAGCTTTCCAGTCTTTGCCCTAAGTAGATAGCACTTGAAATTACCCAAAATTTTAAGAGCAGCAGCAAGGTAAAACACTTAAAATGGGTGGAAGGTAAAAACACAAGGAGTCCTGTATGCAACAATCAACAATTCTGAGAACTAACAGTTAAACAATACTCATAGTTTAAAAGACAAAAGTATTTGTATTTCATAGGATTAATGATCTTCTTCAACTCCGTGTATTTCCTACTCCTAATTCACCTAAGAACTGACTTGAGCATGTTGCTGAACACATTCCAGAAAGCTACAGGTTAGTCACAAAAGTGACATTTGCTGCAGGCTCTGGAGACGTGGTATAAATCTCCACTTTAAGATGAGGCAGGCAGACAATACATTACTGAGGGTGATGAGAATTAATTCAAGCTCAGTGCTGCAACAGTCCATTATCTAACAGAAAACAACAAATACGGCTATCTGCTGGAAACTGTTCAAATCCTACTTTCAGCATCTTGAACTAGTAGAAGAACATAACACATTTCCCTGGTGCCCCCATATTGGGGTTGTTTCCTTCTACGAGTACTGTTAAAAAAGCAACAAACACACAGATACCAAATAAAAACATGAACGCACCAAACACAGGACAGGCTTCCCTGGAGATAGCCAAGATTTCTACCATCCTTTTGATAAGCCTTTATACTGCAGCCATGGGAGTATGAAATTACACTGAAATAATTGTAACCATCTAATATCTGAATCTACTTGAAACGGATGCCTTTTTCATTATACTTTTTGCCTTTCAAACAACCTTCTGAAGTGCTACAATTTTAAGGGAAACCCTTCCTTTCATGTCAGCAACTGCTCTCCCTGCCAAGAGCACTACCAGAGCAGCATCTGATGACGCAAAATAGTCCCCAAATATAAACACTTTTTCCAATATTGAAAAAAAAGAACAAGCAAAACAATATAAAACCATACTGCTTCCCCAGCTTAGATAGTTTCAGTAACCAAGAGACAAAAACAACAACAACAACGACCAGCGACTCTACTGCCACCTCTCAGGCAAACAAAAAGTGCTACTGACTTCCCAGGTTTCAGTATTTTGGTGCTTAGGCAGTTTAGATCTTGTTTCCACTGCCATATAGTAAGTTACCAGACTAAGGATTCTGGAACTCTGGAAACACAAGAGAATTTCAAGCTCAGATTGCATTTGGCTGTTGTCTTTAAGACAACATATTAAATTCACGCTTCAAACATAAGGAATTGGAATACTTTAAACAGAATACAAAATCCCAAGACCAACAGCCATAATACCTGCAGTTCTATTCCATGTTATCCTGGAAGAGAATATGAAGATAAGTACCATTTATTCCACGTTGGATTCCTCCCCCTCCTAATTCCAAGTCAAAGGAATTACTTGCTTTCTCTCAATCTTTCTGCTTAGTTCCTTCTTATTGCAATTAGAAGTATTCAGTATTAAAATCAGAGGCAAACTTTCATTTATTTTGGATTTTTTAAATCCATATAAAGCAGACTGCAGAAAGTAGTTCTAACTACCTGACCTGGAAGTGTGACATCACACTGGAACAGATTTCAGGAATTTCATGCTGCTCACAAGGTGTGAGACTTCAGGAAGGGTGGACGAGTGTACTCAGCCACAACCCCCAACAGTTTGGATAAAACACTGACATCATTTAAACATACCTGCATAAAGTAAACTCAAGCCACGCAAGACTGACTGACAATTCCCAAGACAAAGATATCACACAAAATTAAATCCTTACCCTCTCTAGAAGGCTCATTTCCTGGAACTCTGGGCTCGTGTTGGCTAATCGTTGCAGTGTGTGTGTCAGGTCGTAGGTTGTTGAGAAGTAAAACCCATCCACGCTCAAGACATGGTTAAGCATTGATAAAAATACTTTATTGTCCTGCAACTGTTGAGATGAGAAAAGAGGATAGAAGAGCTCTCATATTACCATCAAAATACCTTGTTCTTATAAGCTACCACTACTTTTTGAAGTGATGAGATGAATTTTGCTAGTGCTCTAGCAATACATGACATCATCCAGAGATTACCATATGAGAAGGAAACCATGAGATTGCAATTCTGATACCAGCTCACTGATAACTTGCAGCTACCACACTGCAACCAAATTCTGCAAGAACAGTGGAGAGCAGAGAACAGTATTCCTGTGAGGCAAACAGCTACTGATATCAAACTAATATTAACAACTTCCAAGCAAAAAGGAAGCCACAAGTTTCCCTGAAAACCATTCAGTCAAACAGAAAGAGACAAGATGGCAATGCAAAAGAAAGGTTATAACTTACTGTCAAGACTACCCCAATAACTAACTAACCTGTGTTCTGGTTCAAGTTCTGACTGACCTAATTCCTTTCCTGAAAGAGCATCAGATTCCTTTCCAGTTCCATTGGTTAGACACCCTTACCTGCCGTTTACCAATCCACTACACATCTATTTTAAACAATCCTCAATCTTTCCCTCCCTCTCAAAAAATCAATTCTTCCCTGCTGGGTAATTATGTAATTGAACAATTCCATAAATTAAGCAAGACAGATAAGATGACAGCAATGCAGCTTATGGTGGGGGCTATCAGTATAGTAAAACTGCAAGAGAGACTTAACAGAAGCTTAAGAAGGGTGTACCATCTTAAAAGGAGCAAAAATGCACATCCGTGAACTGCAGATGATATTCCCAGTTACACAACTGAGTTTATCATCTTGAATGCCTTAATTTTATATACATCTACACACAAATACTACATCCATTCTAGTAGTCTGAACAAATCAGACAAAATGTACAGTTCAAAGAGCTTCTTAAAAAAAATTTCATAGTTTCATCACATTAGGTCCTGTGGCAATGGACATTAACATTCCACCAGGATAACATTCTCCACATTCCCATAATCAGTAGACCTACCTGAATATCAGTTAAGTGCAGCATGGTCTTTTTGTAGGACAGGATGTCAAAGTCCGTTGCTTTCCAGATCGCATGACCGAAAATCTCACCTACTTTTTTCTTTTTTGTTATTACAATCAGATACGTGCCTGTAAATTAGAAAGAACAAATTAAAAAAAAAACCAAAAAAACCAAACCAGATACACATATTAAAAAAAGCAGCCTATAAACATACCAGAAAACTGAAACCAATAGGAAAGAGTGAGGCTTCTTCAAGTTACACTTAGGACTTTATGTTCTTAAGAGTAAAGGGCTGGAGCAGAAAAAAGAAAATCCTCTTGCTAAGCTACCCACTTCTCTGTGTTCACAGAGCTACTCATTAAGTTTAAGGAATTAAAAAAAATAGATAAGATAAAAAAAAGTGTCACCTACTCTTACTTCTGATCAGAGACAGTCTGAAAGTCTTCAGGCTTGCAAATGCACAAAGAGGGCAGTGCTCTTGTATGTGGTTTGGAAAGCACAGAGCAAATCCAAAATACATGAAAGGAAGCATGCTTCAAAAGCCAAAAAGACCATTCAACTTATCCTGAAAATAATATTCATCCTAGCAGGTTTGAAATGGAAAAACGAATTGGGTTTCCTTTAATAATTTAAGACAGGAAGTTTGTTGTTTTCCTGGTTGCATAAGTAACAAAGCAAAAAAGCCCCATAATGGTGGGCAGTTCACTCAAAGCAATTGTTGGTAATACACTCAATACACTTGTTGGTAAACACAACACAGCTTTATTTGTAAGCCTATCTTATTTCAGTGTCATCTTGGTTTTGAAGAAAAACATTACTCTTAATATTGTAAAAGGCAAAGAATATTTATATTTGTTAAAGATACTGCCTAATAGCACTTAACTAAACATTTACTTTAACTGATACCATTTTTAGCTTGACAGCTGCCTACTAACACTCAGTGCAAAGCTCTAGAGGGCAGAATGAAGAAAACCCAGCTTTTAAGAGACTTGCATATTCTGTATTTTATTTAATATTCAGTCAGATGAACAGAAGTCATTACCAAGCCTGTAAGTGTTGAAAATTCCTCTTTAAAACAGTCAGGGCTTGTCAAGTACCTAAGACACGGGTATCCATTACATTCCTCTTACCCTGCAAGATCCACAATCTTTAGAATATGGGCACAGAAAGCTCAGTTGTTTTGAGGTCCTGTCAGAAGCCACTGCATTCAACACAATGATATTTTGCCTCAGTTGAGAATACTGCAGTGAGTGATCTTAACTTCCCTCTCCATATGGAGATTTTATTCAGCATGCATGCTCCCTATTGCATCACTTTCCAGACTACCTCAGTCTCAAACTTCAATAAAATCTACACAAAGGATTGTTGGAGTAGCAATGCTTACTTTCCTGAAATCTTACACTTTATGCCTCAGGTTTATTTTACAGCAGTGACTGAACACCACTGAGACACTCAGAAAAACTGGACAGCTTATTCTTATCTTATCCTACAACTCCCTAGAATTAGAATTGTTCCAGTCTGCCCTTTTTTTTTTTCATGTTGGATTTTCTGTGTATTTTTAGGGTAGTTGGAACACAATCATTCTTGAACAGCTCTATCTACTACTCTATCACTCCGTCACTCTCAGCTACTCATGGATCGAGATTATTGATTTCAAGTCAAACTTCACAACTTGACTGTTGCATCAAATCCTGCAACTCAAATTAAAACAGTTCAGAAGAGTAAGTAGATGAGGTTCTCTGCACTCATTTGGAGGGCATTCCTTAAAACTCGAACAACTGTTGGTTAATCCTGCCTTTAGAGCACCTACTGGTTTAAGAGGTATATGAACATTCCTGATAACCTGTATTTGGATACCTCCATCCTCCAACAGCCACAAGGAAAGTCTATCATACTGACCAAAGTGCAGTCTCAGGTAGCTGCAAATACTATTTTTGCCTTTAGAACTTCTTAAGTAACATATTTTGCCTAAGCATTTTTAAAGGGCACGGTTCTGTTCTCCTTACCTGCCACCAATCGGATTGTTCCCAAAATACCAAATATGGGCCGTGTAACAGCTGACGGGGGAACATCTTTCTTAACTGAAAAGCAGAAGAACACAACATCAGAACTTCAGACTGCTTCCTTCATGACTATACTGGAAAACTATTAAACTCCAAAGCTTCTTGGTCAAGTCTCAAGTTTTGCTAGAGTCTTAAGTACAAGAAGCAAAACCTGATGGGGAGTTGGGGGAAAGGATGTGGAAGCACTCCAACACAATTTCTTATGTTTAATCAAACTGGTCAATCAATGGAATAAATTCAAGCTCATTCATATCACAGTATAGCAAGTAGACTCCCCAATTATGTACTGTCCTGCTAGCTTCCAGAAGCTTTTTTTTTGAAACCAGCAAGACATCAAGGACAGACAAACCATAAGTGCTTGTGCCTCCCAGTTCTCAGTGCTCCTTCTGAGCCTCAGTCTATTTCCATTTCAGGACACACAGTTTACCTTTTGGCCTATCTCTGTAAAACTATCAACAACAGCACAGATAGGGCAAGGGACACAGTATGCCCAACAACCTACCAAGAGATCCAGAAGCTATCCAAATATCAATTAAGAGTCTTAGCATGTTTAATTTTCATATATCTACTTTTCTAAAGCTATAGAAAAGATATTAAAGAAGTTTAAAAAAACCAACAACCCATAACACCCACAACAGAGTGAGGCATTTTCCCAGAAAACTGCGAAAGACAATGCTTGAATCTTCCTGCTTTAAACACTGAATGCTGGTTCATCTGATAAAAGACCAGTAATGAGAGACTTGTAGACTAACAAAAGACTTGGGATAGCTATCTGTATGGTTTTGAAGTGACAACTTTGAAGGAGAAATTGAAGTATTACACTACAACATCAAAAATATGAGTGGGATGGGCAGGCACACTGCTCTTGCATGAAGTATACAAGAAGCCTAATAAAAGACAGAAAACGACTGCTTTTATATTAATCCTATTGTAGCATTTCTGTTTGTTTAGAGTTGTGAGTACAAACTCCTGAATTATCAAAAGGGAAGTCTCCCATTGCCTTTGTTTCATTGTTATTTAATCGAAGTTCTTTGGTTTTAAGCACTGGTTTCACATTCTTAAGAAAGTTAAACTAAAACATTAGAGACATCAGCATGTTGAAGGCTACTCACACTGACATTTGAATCCCAATTTGCAACACCAAATGAAATTTACAGCAAAGGTTTTTTACTGTTGCTGTTTCTAGAGGCTTTACAAAAAATCAGGTTTGAGCATTATGTATAAGAGAGCACCGGGACAATTTGGAAGAGTTACAGAACCCGAGCGTTCAACACTGTTCGATCCTGAACTTGTAGCACCAATCCCAACTACCCTGGATGATTCAGTTTTCACTGTTGTGATGGGCAGTCTTACCAAAAAGCCAGGCAAGCACCATCACCCTGGTTACCCACAGCATCAATCCCACAGCCAAAAGGCGTTTCAAACAAAGCTCTGTGCACGACAGAATACAAAACACAATTTTAAAGCAGTAACTAAAACCAATTCTGTCAGTACTATCTCAGTAGGGTTCTGAAGGTCTCCTTGGAGTGCCAAGAGCAAAACAGACAAAAAGGACAGAGGAGAACATATTGAGAAATACTGTAAGGTATTTCACCTGTAAGGGTGACTTCCGTGGAGACTCTGTCAATAGCAAGCACATCATCTGCTCCATCATCACAGGCTTCCACATAGAACTTCTCCGGTGTTATGTGCCTTTAAGAGAATGGAGAGGAAAAAAAAAAGGTCAGTTCAGTAAAACTTACTTTGCTCTTGTCTTCAGGTGGTGAAGAATAAACAAACCCAATGAATTTTACACCTTATTTCAGCTGCAAAATAAAAGTCTCACTGGACTACTTCCCAAAGGGTACTGATGTTGACAGTGCCAAAAAAAAAAAAAAAATGTCTGATAAACCACAACACAAAATCAAAATTTTTAAATGAAAAACTTCCAAACATGTCAGAAACTAAAGTACCACATGCCTAATGCAAGTCTAGTAAACATAATGTCCAAAGTGCTAAACACATCTGTTTCACAGTAGCCTTTTAGGAGAACACTGGACACAGAAAAAAAAGGCAAAAAGTTAAAGTAGCACACTAATTTACTGAAGGAGGTGTCTCAACACTAGCATTTCCCAGATTTGTCAGCCAGGTTTATGTGACACACATGTATAATCCCCACCACCCAAATCACACACTGACTGAATCCTGTTCAGGTTTCATTGCTATCTTACTCGTCCTCCCCCAAAGAAAACCCAAACGCAGTAAAATAGTAGCCATAAATTTAAACATAGTTTTCAGAAGTACTCCTTAAAAAAACACCTGTTGAGATACTGGCAAAAAAAGCCAGACCTTACACTGTGCGTTGACACGAGAGTTCTGCAGAAACAGCTTGTAGCTGTACATAGGAAATGCTCAGCAACCAAACAAAATACCCCAAACACTCCTAAATTAGCGTTCTTGACTCTTATAATGACTTTTCTTAGTTTAAAGGCTTGACAAGACACGGGGTCAGTTTTAAAATTCTTGTTCTGGTAACAGGGTAGATATTTTTAGGCTCCTTCTCCCTAAATAGATCTTGCACTTCTTCACATCTTGTAGGGGTTTTTTAATCCTTCAGAAAGCTGAATTAGAATCCTAATATAGATCAGAAGAGTCTGTATTGGGTTTGCAGGGCAAGGTTTTGGTATCAGGGGGTCTATAGGGGGTGGTTTCTGTGAGAAGCTGCCAGAAGCTTCCCCGTGTCCCACAGAGGCAACGGCAGCCGGCTCCAGGACAGACCCACTGCTGGCCAAGGTCGAGCCCATCAGTGGAGGGTCCCACACCAGAGCACAGGCATGTGCCTGAAGGAGGCTGGGGGAAGTTTGCACTGGAGGGGGCTCCTGGCAAGACATGTGATCCTGCAGGGGACACATGCTGGGGAAAGGGAAGGAGGTAAAGAAAATCAGGAATGAAGTTGAGACGGAGAAAAAGGAAGAAAGGGAAGGCATTTTTAAGATTTGGCCTTATTTCTCATTATCCTACCCCAATTTGATTGGCAATAAATTAATCTAATTCCCCCAAGTTGAGTCTGTTTTGCCCATGATGGTAATTGCCAGCTGATCTCTCCTGGCCCTTATCTTGACCCACAAGTCTTTCACTGTATTTTGTCTCCCCTATCCAGGTGAGGAGGGGGAGTGACAAAGCTGCTTCAGTGGGCACCTGGCATCCATCCAGGGTCAACCCACCACAGAGCCCTTTGAAAGATGTCTTCCAGACCTCTTTTAACATGTCCAATACCATACCTGCCACCCACTTAAAGCAGGGCCAACTTCAAAGTTAAATCTTTTTTCTTAGGGTGTATTTTGACTCCCCCCAAGGATGATGATTCCACAACCTCTCTGGGCAGTTTGAGGAAAGCCAGAGGACTCCAAATGCCTAACTGAACTTAAAAAAAACCCTATCAAACAAAATAACACAACCAGCTGTAAAGCAATTAACAGTTAACTGTTCATCAGATCATTTAACTTCGTTACAGGAAATTTAGTCTACGGGTCCTAAAATGGGAAACACATCAACAGTATTCCCTTTGTAAGTCAGCCTTCTTAAATCTTTCATGTACCCATATTAAATGCACACATTTAGTGCTTTATCACTGAAACTAAAAACACCAGAGTAAGAAATACAAACATGCAGTTCACTGAACGCTGAAGCCTTAAAACACCTCCTTTGCTTTCACTGTTCCTGCTTTTGATCAAGTGCACATGTGCACTTCTGGCTCTTTAAGGGAGTTTCATAGCAATAACGGGAGCTGTTTTTATGACGAAAAGCAAACAAGCTTACAGAGACAGAAAAGGGGTAAGACGAGCTTAAAGACACCTACAAACCCTCATTTTTTTTGAGTTTAAAAAGCAAACAGGATAAACTACTTAAGGAGTAGTCAGAAACCTACTGCTGGTTGGCAGGGGGCAGCAGTAGGCATTTTTTCCATAGGAGAAAGCTGCAGCTACTTAGTTTCCGCTGGTTTAGTTGAACACTTGGCTTTTCCTGAGAGGTCAGTTGACACACAAGATCGACACAGAAAACAGGGAAGAGACACTGCGATGTTTAACATCGGATCTCTTTAACGCAGATGCTTGTGTGCTCTTCCTCATTTGATTATCTCAAGCAAAATAAGTTGAAAAACCCCATGTGAACATCAGGTTGTATTTCCAAAGATAACAGTCAGAACAATAGTTTCAGTTTTTGAATAGTCTGTATAAAGAGCATAGTATGGCCAGGACATTTACACTGACTATATAGACCACAATGAGCATTTCCCTCCACGATCAGTATTTTTAAAAGCTGCTCTTTACAGTAGAAAAGGCAACACGGCCATGACACCACCGTAGTTTCAGCACTGCGATTCACATGTGCATTAGTTAAAGCCTGTTTCCACCCAACTGAGAAGCTTACAGGTGCCAAATATTTGTCATATAAACAAATGTTTTCTTAACCACACTCAAGAACAGCGATTTCTTCCTGAAGAACATGAGGTCTTTTGCTCTTGTCATCCACAAACTGAAAAGAAAAATGAGACAATTAAGGCTGCCAGGGCAAATTATGCCTGGTCTCTCAATACATGTCATATGCCCTGCTTTGCTAGACCAGCCCCTAGAACTTCTCTCTCAAATCCTACACCACATGATCTCCTACCACCACCGCTGACCTTTTAACAATTTTTTTTAATCACCTTTATCTCCTCTTACACAATGCCTGTAGTTTAAGCAAAGCCAGAAATGCACATTTCACATTCAAAGTCCTCCTCCTCGCAGTCCTCTTCAAGACCACATTTGTTGACAGAAGTGTCATGGAGAATAAAAGACAAGTCAACCCTGTTTTCAGCTCAGTGGACCAAAAAGGCTTCAGCAGCTTGCAGCACACTGGAACAGAATTGTTGTTGACTGTTTTAGAGCTCCAGGTGATTCTGTTTTGGATGTCTTGGACTGGGGGGAAGGCAGGGGTAAGAGGAAATCAAGTTGCCAGTCTACAACAAAGTTGACAGAACTTGAACAAATACTTCTCTGTTGGCATCACCTTTAAAAATTGCCTTAAATACAACTGCACAACACAAATTGGAAACCCTAATGCCCTGCAAAATGTTAAATTCCTGCTTCAGAAGAAGTGGGAGAACTGCTGCTCTTCAAAGTTCTCAACAGAAAGATGACTCACTTAGTGCTTGCTTCATTTGTGTAAGAAGTTCAAAGTTTCCTAAAATAAATACAGTTTAGGAAGAGGCTGAGACTTGAAGTGTCTTCAGCCCAAGTGCTGATTTGCAACCTTGCCAGTGACCAGAAAGAACTAGGCTAGTAGTCTCATTCTTGCTTAGATGACCTTTTCTATCATAAAATTGCTACAGTCAAGATGACTGCCTCTCACTTCTCTTTCAGAACGGAAGCTGATGAACATCTTATGCAGGAATAGGTTTGTCCACAAGCCCTACTCACTACCAAGTCTGTATGTCTGTCACAAGCTTAGAAAGACGTGACACATACTAATTTTACTTATCTTAGAAGGAGATATTAAATGCTGAAGAGAGGATCACTCACAATGACTAGGAATCTGCAGACAGATTCATTCCATTCTTTTAATGAAATAAGGAACAGATTAAAATCCAAATGCTAGTATTGTATCAAAAATAAGGAAAGCTGTATTTTACAGAAGCCCGTGGTGCCTGTAGTTACTTTCAGAACTGGTTTTCACACCCCAGGCCACATTCTGCTTTTGTATAACCTTCATATTTGACACTGGAGCTTGCTTTCCTCCTTGGCTACGTTGTCACTGTTGTCTAGAATCATACAAACATCAAGAACTCTCATCAGCAGTATCTTGCTTCCCTTACACCTTAACAGCACACAAAATCTTCACAAAATTTCAGTTCCTTTATTTCCTTTTTTTTTTTTTTTTTTAAATAAAGGAAAACCGATCACTGTTATAATGAACCATTTCTCACTGTTGCTAAAGAGCAAAGGGAGAGATAAATGCAAATATTTTAAATTGATAGTATAACTCACGATACTCAAGAAAAGGAGAGGTATTGAAGAAGTGCAACCACAAAATTCATATTTCAAATATTACTGAGGGTGATTTGGATTTAATGTTGATAATCTTCTCCAACTGAAACTGTGTGGCTTGCTGCCAAGAGGTAAAGCAACTTACTCTGTAGATTTCATTCCTACAATTCAAAGTTAAGGGAAAAAATTGACTCCCAACATAACAGAAACATAAAAGAAAAAAAAAAAAAAAAAAAACACAAAAAAACCCACACCACTGCTTGCTTACACCAAGTGTAAAGTCAGACTCATTTAAAATTAGGTGAGACAATATTTTTTTTTGTTTGTACATTTGTTGTGAAGTTTCACTTCAATAGTTATACTACAAAGCATCACTGTATATCAAAAAGATGATGCACAGTTGCCTCCCACATTTTAATTAGGCTGATCTTACAGACAGGAATATTCCTGTGTTCAGATACAGCATGAAAGAGGACCCATCATGCTCTAATGGCCACTAAAGATAGTACTTCACTCAATATCACTTAAGCCTTCTAGGTCTCAACAGCCAAACCCTTACTTCAGCAATTGATTATTTCACCATAAATACTTAACAATGCTCTAATGCAGGAGACTCTTTGATGTCAGCCCCTAAATACTCTAATAAAGCAAGACAAAAGCACATTCTGTACTGTGCGGGGATGCCTTTGGTATCTTGAGTACAGCAAACTTGTCTGCAGTGAGACACAAAAGCTGGTAGTTTGTGCACAGAGTTCCAGCAGTATGTTAAGTAACAGTGCTAACATGCTGATGGTTTCAGCACTCCAGAGATTCCAGATTTTCTAGGTGAGCAGGTGTGCTAATTATATGTCTCCCATAAATATTGCTCTCCTCAAGCAGAAAACAGCTCAAAGAACTGGAACATCTCCTATAGAGCAGGGAAAAGAAACCCAGGATTTAGAAAACACTAGTGGAAAAACCATTAAAAAAAAAAAAAAGGGCATGTATTAGAGGCACAGCTACATAATATCTATTTCCAGTGAAGTTTTACTTAAAATGAAAATAATTTACAGCTTTGGTTGACTTCCTGCTCAACCAACATCCCTGAGCTTCACCCTCTTAGACTGAGCTAAGAAAAAGGGATGTGTAGTTGTTCCTTCTAGAAGTATTATCCAAGTTCTGAAAACTCAGTTTAGAAAACTAGCAAAGAAAGAAACCAAAGACAAGATGCACTTTAAGGCCTCTCCCCAAATACAGCAAAAGGCACTGTGTTCAAGTGCAGTAGCTACTGAGGACTGACAAGTGCTTTCACAAAACATGTCAGGCAGCGTAACTGCGGGCAGGAGGAGTTAAATTTCATACACAGCTACTGTCACGGACTCACAGGATACTAAGATAAGTAGTAGCAAGATAAGTCTTCATCCAAGCACAAAGTAAAAAAAAAAAAAAAAAAAAGTGATTTTAACTGAGCCAAAACAACAGCCAGGATTTTCTCTTTTCTGCAAACAGCTTTAACAATCAGTTTTTAAATATTAACTGGACTGGTAGCTGCACTATCACCCACTAGTAGTGGACAAAATACCTGCAATAGCTGTTTGAATTTTACCATTTATTCCCAAGGCTACAAGAGGAATTTTAGTAGGTATAGCAGTGCCACAGATGCCAAGTATAGACAGCAGTTTTCACTTTCATAGTTTTGCCCAGTAACTGTTGGTGTAATTCAATCAGTTCCAACAGCAATACAGATTTGAGGCATCAGCATTTTTACTGGCATCACCTGAACTTGACTGATGACACAGGTCAAAGGACAAAGGGCTTGAACCTTGACTTTTGATAACGTGAAAAGCACGAGAGGTTTGCGTTCAGAGCCACAACCCACAGCTGGATGTATGGGATGGGACCCTGCGGAGCACTGCAGTCAGGGAAGATCCATACAGGGCCACCAGACTACCCAGAGGAGGTACAGCTGTACCTTTGCATAGTGAGAATGAGTAGTCAGATTAAAAAAACTAAGCCAAACACTGCTACCTCCATTAAATCCCCAAACTCAAGTCTAGCCTGGATTTCTCAGAAGAACATTCTCCTTTGACCTTGCCAACCTGCAAAGTTTGACTCATCACCCAAGTTACGGCCTTGTATCTTCAAATGCTTGGTTGAAAGTGTGCAGGCATACCACAGCTTGGTGTAATAAAAAGACCACACCACCTCGTTTTCCAGAACACAACTGTTTATGAAAAAAATCATGTTGAACTACATTTGAGACAACCTTCTAAAAAGATCAAAGCTTACTTTTAGTAAGATTAAACTTTGAATGAGAGAATTCTTTACTAGCCTCTATCCAGAGAAGTGCTTTTACTTGAAAAAATTCTCAGCAATAACAACTCTGTACTACAAGCCACTCAACTGCTACTTGCACAACTCACCTTCGCTCCTCTGCAGGCAAAAAGATCACCTGTTTAGGTGACAGGAGGGAAAAAAAAAAAAAAAGCTTTCTGCCAAATAAAAAAGTCTTTCAGTCATCACTCATCTTACTCTTCAGCAACACTCAGTTACCTCCAGTGCCTGTGTACCCTCACAACTATTTGATCAAAATAAGACGCCCAGTGACTTTGAAACACATAACAGCATTATGGCAAACTGTTTATACAGACCTCCAAAAGATCTAAGTATATTTGCTCTGAACCCAAAAGACGATTGTCAAATGAAATTTAACAGAGCATTAAGCACAGCAAATCAGGCTTAAGAATCACTTTCAGATACTGCTGCCTGGAAATGGCATGGGTAACTCAATTATGGAGTTTCAAGCTACTACTTAGAGGTCAAAAGCCCGGGAACGCCTTTAGGACACAAAAAGAGATTTCACTTTCAGCTTCAGACAGTCAAGAAGAGTCTCATGCTCAGAGTAATTTCCTAGGGAATTTGAACTGGCCCGTGTGAGCGTTTATAATGGAGACGCCTCTTGCAGCGTTAACTTTGTACTGCTTTTGGTTACGCAACTTCTTCTGCCGTATTAAAGGCAGCAAACAAACATCTGGCACACACACACACACACGCTGAAAGGGTTACATCCTCCTCCTAAGAAAGTATTTGTTTTAATAAAAAAAAATTACACCGGGAGGTTATGAGAATTTATTTGGAGAAGTCATAGCAGGCACTGCACAGGAGAGATCGGAAAGTTTAAAGTCATCAAAGTTCAAACTCGTTAACAGGCAACAAAACATCAAATCACACACACACACAAAAAAACCCCAGCTGTGCCACGAGAGACCGATGGGCGAGTACGCGCAGGAAATCTGCTGGCAAGCAGCGCTGCACACACACAGCTTTACACAGCGCCAGAGCCCTACAGCTGCCACCCACAAGCGAGAATGCGGAATCACAGAATTATCCGGGTTGGAAGGGACCTCTGGAGATCACCTGGTCCAACCCCGCTGCCCAGGCAGGGTCACCTCGAGCAGGTGACGCTGGAACGAGTCCAGGCGGATTTGGAATGCCTCCGGAGAGGGAGGCTCCGCCGGGCTCCTGACGCCGAGGGGAGCCCCGCAGGCACTGCCCTCCTGCACACGCGGGAGGAAAGCGGCGCGGACACGGGAGCCGCCCGCCCGCAGCGCTGAGGGATGGACGGCGGCAGGGGATCAGTGCTGTGTCCACGACCAAAGTCCTCCGCCCTCCTCCCGCCCGGGGCTGCCGCCTCGGGCCGAACCTTTCGCGGTCACTCGGGGGGCGAGGGAGCCCAAGCGGGCGGGGAGGGCAGCGGGCAGGCCGGAGAGGGCAGCGGGCAGCAAGGGACGGGCGGCCACCACTCCCCTCGGCAGCTCCTCCTTTCCCCTCCCCTCCCCTGCCCTCCATCGCTCCCGCCCGGCAGGTGCCCGAGCCGCGTCCCCCCGGCCCCGGCGGGGCACTCACAGCTTCAGGCTGGCGTAGGCCGCCGCCGCCGTGGTTCCCGCGGGTGCCGCCGTCGCCATCCGTGCCCTCGGGCTGTCCTGGCCCTGCCGCCGGCCGCGCTCCGGCCCAGCCCGGCCGCTCCCGCCCCGCCCGCCCGACTCACTGACTGACGGACGGACGGACTGACGGACTGACTGACTGACGCGGCCCCCGGGCTGCAGCGACGGCGCCCCGCTCGGGACAAACCTCCGCGGGCGCGCCGAGCAGCCCAGGGCGGGGCACCGCCTATTGGAAGGAGGGGGGGCGGAGCCGGGCGGGCTCGGCGGCGCCGCCATTGGCCGGGGCAGCGCACGAGAGCGGCGCTGAAGAGCGCGGGGACTGCCCCTCCACAGCGAGCAGGGCCAGTGGCGCAATGGATAACGCGTCTGACTACGGATCAGAAGATTCTAGGTTCGACTCCTGGCTGGCTCGGCTGCTCCTTTTTTTCCTTTCTTCCCTTCTACCCTTTTCTCCCCGTGTTTTGTTTTCCTCTCCTGGACTTCGGTCCGAGAGCGCTGCCAGCAGCCCCCACATTCCTGCACAGACCTAGGGCGGGAACACTCATGCCCCCAGCGTAGGGGCCTCCAAACCTCCCAGGGTTGGGTGGTGTTAACAGGGCTTCTTGCCCTTGGCAGCCCTCCCTGCCATGGGCACCACCCTCTGGGTTGCTGGTGTCCACCTGGGCACACTGTCTGCAGGGAAGATGAGCTCAGGTTTGGCGCAGAGCGAGCCTGGTGCACCTCCTGGCCAATTTCCCACTGGATCCAGCCCTCTGGGTTTGGGCAGCTTCTTGCCTCAGGGAGGGGAACCCACAAACTCTTAATTAGTTACTCCTATTTATTTGCTTCATACTAGCTGATAGCTTCATGCTGCTGCAGTGCTGCTTGGCCAGCGGTATTCAGGAACATCCAGTCTTCAGACAGGAGGCATCACAGCTGCTGATCCAGGGGGTACTGTGTGGCCACCTGCCTCCCAGAGCCATGGGAATGCTATCTAAAACCCCATAAAGAATCTATCTTCACGAACGCTGCAAAGGAGACCCCCATGCTGGGCCCAGAATCTGCTCCCACATGCAGCACATCCCTTCCCAGCTCCTTAAGCCAGCACCTGGGTCTCCCCAGATGGATGTCAGAGCAGGATGGCCTCCGATGGGGCTGCATCAAGTACCAGCTACCTATAAAGGACTGGAAACCCCCAGAGAACCCCACTGACGAGGTACTCCCACCAGCCCCTACTGCAGCCACTGATGGCGGGGAGGACAGGAGGAAAGCAGAGGTTGGGAAACCATCATTTCATAGCATTACTCCCTCCCTGTGGACTCCAGATAGCATGACAGTCATCATAACTTTAGGAAAGACTTGACTCTGAGCGTTGCTTAAGATACTGTCTTTAATCACTGATATCACAACAGGCCAGTGGCTTTGTTCGGCTACCAGTCTTCATTCTTTATAAATACTTAACAGCACAGAAGGAAAGAGGGCTGTGTTCACGGGAGGCTAAGGTTAGTTACACCAGCACAAATCCTGAAATACCCTCTCCCGGAGTTGAGCTTTGAATGAAACATAAAATAATTAGTACCATTCAGTATCGCTAGCCAGGCTCTGGATGTGCTTTCTGCATACAGAAAGCCACAGCCTGTGCGTGTGTGCCTGGGTCCCTGCCGGGCCATGAGCCGCAGACCTGCTGCGTGGGGGAAGAGGGCTGGTGCCAGCAGGGCTGGGAACTGCAGCCCAGCCATCCCTATACCAGGGCTGCAGGGCATTCCCACTTTCACAGGGCTCTATGCCTTGTGCTTCCACATGGGGACAGTTTCTTCCCATCTCTCATCTTGTCATTAGTGGGCTATGGATGCATATTGCCATGCAAGCTTCCGGCTGCCCTGGAAGAAGGTGGGTAAGGATTTTTATTCTCAGGAAAGTTTTGCTTCTCCGTAGGAAAAGGGTGGGTGGCAGCTCCAGGCTCTGTCTGGGCTCATGGCAGGACACAGAAATGGAAAAGAAAAATGAACACATGAACGCTCCACAATGAGAGATGCAGCTTCTCCCAGTGATGCAGGCACTCAAGAGGATGGGGGAAAAGGGGTGTGTCTCTGGCCGTAGCCCTTCCCTGCCCGCAGGTACTGACTCCACAGATGTTTTCCCAGTGAGGAAGCCTGGATCAGATTGTCCTTACATTCACGAACAGAAAGTTGCTTACAATGCACCTACGAGCACTTGGCCTGGGCACAGAGGTGTGAAAGGCAGGTGTCTCGCAGGCAGCGAGCACACAGCAGGCCCTCAAGGCCCACGTGTGACATTTTTTCCTCGGCAGCCACAGATAATCCTCTCTTTTGAATGGCCAGCCAGAGCCATACCAGCTCTTAGAAGCCCAGTTTCCCCCTTTCAAGGCTGCCACAGCACACCTGATGTTGATGAAAACTCCATTTCCAGACTAAGCAGCTATTCACTTTGTTGTAAAAAGATCTTAAAAAAAAAAAAATCATTTATACCCTGAAAGACTGAGAAATGTTTTAAAAGCCCCTAAATGAAACTTGGAAACTGAAGAGCCACAGATCTCTTCAAACGCACCTCGCGAGGGTGTTTGAAACTGCTGTTCCCTGTGTTTTAACATCAGGGCAATTTCCAAGATCGCTTTGATCACAGGTGTTTCTTAAGCTTTAAATTACACAAAAATGTCTGCTTCTTCTATGGCTGGGGCTTTCCCCTGGCTCTTATGCAAAAATCCGTATTTAAATGAGTTTCTGTATTCTAAGCAATAGAAATTTAACTGCATGACCTGAATGAAAAAAATCTCCTAAGCTCTGGTTCCTGAAAGCAGGCTTCAGGGAATTCACTTGAATAACTATTTGCATGAGAGTTACTCATTACCAGCACAATGGGACTTCCAAGGGTCCCTTACTCTAAAACCAGTCAGAAGAACTCGCTGGGGGAGGAATCAGGACTAGTTTTTCATAGCACGTTTCAGCATCTTAATAAATTAAAAGGCAACAAGGTTCATGTGAACAGCAAAACCCAACACGTATCAGCCGGGAGATAGGCAGAATTTAACAAGTATTCTGAAATTCTTCTGCAGAGCACGCAAAGCCTCGCACCTCCAGCACCAGAGCTACGTTTTATCCCTTTGGGGGAGCTCCCTGAAGGCAGGCAGTGAGGGCTTGCAGCTCCACAGATGGCTGGCAGAGGGTCAGGAGAAGTCTCCCTCCCCTGTGCAGGACGCCCCTACCTCTCCCTGTGCCGGACCTACTGTCAGGCAGCTGCACAGTCGGGGACAAGCTGGGAAAAATCAACAGGAACTCAGACACCCACAGCCTGGGAGAAATAATATCGAGCTTAAATGAATTCCAACTCCCAAAAACAGATTTGGTGCCAGTTAGCACACAAAGGGGTGCAGGGCAATGAAGTAGATGCTTTAGCTTCAAAAACACAAAGCTCCTTTTTCAACAGTTTCACACAGTTGTTTCTAGCCCTTCATAAATACAGGAGAGTGTTGGCACTTAATAATTTATAGGGGACCTCAAAACTGAAAGTAGGGCAGCCTTCATTCCCCGGTGCTGAGGGATACAGGATGGCTGACAGAGGTAAGAAGACACTGTGTGGGAGCAGAAGCCAAACTTTCTAATGATGCAAAGAGAGCTCCTGCAAGACAGCTTGCCACAAACTGGCTGCTCAAGGCTTTCCTGGAAGGAAAATTGTCCTTCTCCCCATCCCCTTCTTTCCTGCTTATTTTGAGGTTGTAGGGAAGGCTGCAAGGGTGAGATGGAAGTTTAAACAGCAGCTTAAAAAGAAAGTATCAGTCCCACTAGTGTTTTCAGATCTTTACAAAACGAAGGCCAAAAAATGTGCACGAGGGCTTGCTCTAAAAAAATCAAGAGCTAGCAAAAGCATGAAGCACACAGTAGCTGGTCTCCCACAGACAGCAACAGATGACCAATGCTGGCGTTTCCAGCTCACTTCCAAAAGCCACTTTGATACCTCATTGCCTGCGCTGCCAAAAGCAGCTCAGGGAGGGGAGCCATCCGCCCAGGACTATCTGAATTATTTACCAGGGATGTGAGCTGGAGTTATTTTCCACTTCAGTCCCTTCAGACAGTCCTAAGATCACAGCCACACCCTGAACACTCCCCTTCCCGCTCTGGCCTAACTGTGCTGCAGGACACAAGCTGATGCAATGCACCAAGGTGAGTGCACTACAGGATCTGCCCAGGGCTGTTTTATTGCCCCCAGTCCTGGTTGCTTGGCTGTGCACAGCACCGATTATATTTTGTGTCGGCTCCCATCCCTTCACTAACAAGCGTTTGGAGGCTAAATTTAAGGCTCTAGGGGGCTCACATACTTGGGGTCATTTTTACCTCCTGTAAAATCACAGATAAAACTCTCAGAAGACATATATTTCACAGCGGAAAAGTCCCCACCCTTGAGCTCTCAGTCACTCACTGAGGGGCTGCATGTCTGGGTGGGTTTCTGGCACAGGACCCACCTCCAGCCATGAGCTGCCATTCCCATCCCAAAGAGTTACAGCAACAGGCAAGAGGAGGTAACAGCTGAATGGGGCAGAAGGCCGGATGGTCCATCGGCCCCATGAAAATCTGTGCCAAAACCACCAGGCTCCTGAGGCTCGTGCAGTTGCAGACACTCACATTTCAGCCACGGCACACTGGTTTGTTAGCACGGGCAGAGACAGGCAGCTTGCTGCTACCTGGAACCTGTGCTGCTCCAGACGGGTACATGAGGCACTCTGACTACATCAAGTGAAGTCCAAGCTACATCCACGCTACTGGAAAAGAGGTCTGGTTGAACCGTAGTGGGATCTCGGCACGGACACTTTTTGTGAGTCTCGGTGCCACTGCTCAGCTAATTTATTGTAGTTTCCTCACCAAAAAGATCTTCAAGAATGTCATCCCATCCTCTGCTAGTCAGAACCAAATTTACATCTTTAGCACAGATACATGAGGATTTTCGTAGTTTTCCACACCAAATGTGGGAAATAGTAGCTAAGATCCCCAAATTAGGAGATTTTTCTTAAACAAAAACTTTGTACCTGTACACGAGGGGCTGCACAGCTTTGGTAGGTACAGAACATGCACTGCAGGCACACCTATCATACATGTAACATACAGTGGGGGAGCAGATCTCTTTGACTATAAAGCAGGGAGGGACTCAAAAAAGAAATGATTTGTCTTTCTGCTTTCTCAGCAGAATGGAAAGTAAGGGCCAAACTCGCTAACCCCTTGCTCAGATAAGCTGTTATTATTCATGGGAGCAAATCTGTTTATACCAATATACTGAGTTCAGGTTGTGGAGCTGGGCTCCAAATCCCTGTGTAACAAAGCCTTCATAACAATCTCAAGTTTGCTCCCCGAGCTCTAAATAAGCACCATTATGAAATGGCTTTGTGCTGGGTAAACACCATGGAAAGGAGTGGCCAGGCTGAGGGCTGAGCTGTGGGGACAAACTGGAAAACCCAGGCAAGTGTCTGTACAGAGAGCTTTTTTTTCAAAGCAAGCTCTGCAAGCAAGAATGAGGATGGATTTCCCCTATGTCCACATTTTCAGCATCCCGACCTTTCCTTTCCAAATATGATCCACTATTCAGACTCTGACCCAGCAGACTGGCCCCTGTGTGTCGTGCTGACACACAAGCCTGGGCCCCAAGTCATTGCAGTAGCTTAGCCTAGCTTGTTCCAGTTTTTTGTTCTGTTTGAAATGGGATGTCGGCCTCCAGCTGCTAGAAAGTATGCCTGGTTTGTGCTCAGAAAGTTGGTGCTTTTACAGCCAGACTTGGTACTGGAGTTCAGGGAATTGACAGAAAGGTCTGAGTGTGCCATTTTGCACAGACCCCTTTGTTTTCTTTTCCTAAAGAATTAATAAAAAGAGAAGAGACTGTCTAAAAACTGGTAATAATACGTTGATGTCCTTCAGGGAACCTGATGAAATGTGCTTGTCAGGAAACAGCAGACTGACAGGATGTCCCTGGCAGGCAGGCAGACGAGCCAGCCTCTGGCTTTTTAATTGCGCATGACATGATCTGAGTTTATAGGCACGACAGCAAATTGTGCTTTCACTGAAGAATCTTCCAAAATGAGCCGAGAGGAATCTCCAGGCAGCAGAAAAAGGCATGTAAAAGTATCAGTTTAGATAACACGCCACATTCTTGGTCAAGTGGACACGGTTTGATACAGCTGGAATCCACAAGCATATAAAACTCTGGGAATCCAGCAAAAATCTCTCATATCCTTTTACAGAAACTTTGCCGACTGGCGAAAAACATGCACAGGAAATCAACTGAGAGCAGGGAGAGGGAGATCATGTAACAAGTCTTCTGTCCCGGCTTTCCGATGTCGGCCACGCTGGTTAGTAGTGGTGCTGGTAGGCAGCTGCTGGGGTTGTGCCATTCTCTATGTGTTTCAGATGACAGGAGTGACAAAGCAAATGTTCATCTAGTGGGTAACAGCGATGCCCGTCCTCGTCGTTCAGTTCCATCCCACAGTCCTGCAAAGAGAGGCCGTGCAAATCATTAGAGCCTCCGTTTGTCTTCCAGTGTCAGCTGGGTCTGGCTTCCAGGAAGGTGATTTTGTGACAAGGACAGAAGACACCCAGCCAACAGCTCCTTCCTAATAATTTGAACATGTGCCATGAGATGGAAAACATCTGGCACAGGCATTGCAATGGGCAATTTGTCTTAAGCAGTTTTACTGAATAAGTTTTATCTTGGGGCAAGGTGCGACCCTACGTATTTTAAATTATCTCCTTACACTCTCAGGTAGGATTCACCTCTTCACATTACAGTTGTACTGATGTGAAACCAGCCTGTGGAATCAGGGCCTCTTGTCCCTCCACTATGAGCACAGTGAGAGAAGACAACTATTTACTTTAATTTACAGTACAGAAGTATGAAGGCTTTCTTGGAAGACCTGCATGGAGACCAAATGGTGTTTAAGAGCTGGCATCTCCTGGAATTTCTTTTTTTGTGCAGCCATATCCTTTGTCTATTCCCAATGACATGTTCATTTCCCATGAGAGTGAAGGTAACTTACACCTCACAGGATCAAGTCATCACCTTAGCATTTTTGAACAATCTGACTTGGAAATCAGATACACTAATGAGATCTGGAGCTCAAGGTTTCTGAAAGGCAGCAATAAACCTAAGTAAGTCACAATGCTTCATTCATTAAAAAAAAAACCTGCCAAGTTTAAAAAGGAGTAACTGAAACTCTTTGCCCATAACTTTATGGATAGCAAATTAAATTGCAGCTGAAACACATTGCTGCAAAAGCTTTTGTCCTCAAACTGGAAATTTTTCAGCCACTGATAGAAAGAGTCACACACAACGCAAAGTCTGAATTGCTCATCCACTGCCACTGGAAGGCAGGAGATTTATTTCCATCTTAAAAATAATAGTAGTTATCACTATTAAGCACCCACTCCCAAGAAAGCTTCTGACCTACCTCGCAGTGATAACATTCCACGTGGTAATCCTTGTCCATGGACACAACCCGAATGGTCTCATCAGACCCCTGTAAGCATTTGAGCAAAGCAGAAATTACAAGGGATTACAGCCAGGCTCAGACACATGCACTCTGTAGATTGCTTCCTGCAACAAAATGAATGTTGAGGAAATGCATTTGGGTGGCTGGCTGGGGAACGCAAATAAATCCCTCCACTTGCAGTTATTTTTACAGTAAAGCCTCATCACTGACTGACTACAGATATCCTCTAAAATGTAACACCAGAAAGGTAAAATTCTTTCTGTTTAACGGTAACATCTACCTCAAATTATGCATTAATGATTTGGTAGTTTCAATAGATGACATTTCTCAGCATTTTAAATTAGTTTTGCCCAAGATTCATCTCCTCCAAGTATTAAAATGAGTTAGTCCCAGCGGGATCTCACAGAGGTCATTCATGAGTGCCACCAGCATTTACTGACACAAAGGAAAATTATCCCGAACATGAAACTAGCAGCAGCATAATCCTGCAGGAGATGAAAAAAGCAGCCTGGCCCAGGAGGAATAAGCTTCACTATTGAGCAGAAGGGTCACATCTCAAGAACAGCATATGAGCTTAGGTCAAAGGGCTGCACTCCAGAGGAAGAGACCATCTCTCCCCACCCACAAACACTTGCATCTTGATACAGGGTCAAGTGTCAAAGAGAGCAAGACCTGAGACATGATGCTCCCTCCCCAGGGGGATATGGAATAAAAGGCTCTCACCTCGGAGGGCAGAATGGGAAGTCCACACGCTGCACACTTTGGAGCTAAAACTCTGGAAGAGCAATGAGGAATTGAAGGCAAGTTATAGATCAACATAAAAAGAGAGGCCTGTATGTTCTTGATAATAAGATGAAAAGCTGCAGCTCTAACTAACTTATCCACAGGACAGCTTTGCACCTTGAGATCATAAATTCACTTTAGCATTGATTTTAAGTAGCGCTTGGCACACGTTGCTTAATCAGGCAAAAGTAGACCTTACATTTTACACTTAGTGCCAGGAAAAATACAAAATCCCCTGTAAAATTCTTGGCTGCTACTGAGAGATTTGGAAAAGAGAATGAGGAGAAACTGAGCAGGACCATCCCCAGAAAAACACATCAAAAGAAGTGGCAACCTTGGGGCAGGAAACCTCAGAGAAAATGCCGTGTGACTGTACAGTTTCTTATAACACAATAATTAATTAAATTAAATCACAAGGAAATATGCATCATTTCAGAACAACAATGGCACACAGAGGCACTAATCTTGGCAACAAGATTATAACAACTCTAATCTTGGCACAACATAGAAGAGTTCCAAGGGCTGCCTGAGCCACACTTAATGCTCTCCCTGCCCAGAAAACGGAGCAAGGAGCAAAGCAAGCCAGAAGGACTCAAATATATGCAGCTCTAACATCATAACTACCAGCTAGGAGCACAGTCATTTTATTTTACTGTCTAAATAACAAGTGATTTTTAAAGTGTTATCAGTTGTTTAACTTAGTTTTGTTTTGCTTTGCAGGTTCAGCGGTGATTCTTTAAAAGTCAAACTCAGGCCCTGAGCTACTCAAAAAGTAACTCACATTGATTTGCACGGGCATTCACAGGCTTACTTTGAAGTGCACTGATTCTGTATATCACTGAACACTTCATGAGCACTATTTCTCACTCCCTCTGCTTTACAGAAGGGGCAACTGAAGCCCAGGAGTTATGTGACTGCCTCAGAGTTACACAGGAGTCAGTGGCAGGACAAGAGGAGAAATGGGGAATTTTTAAGGTCTAGGCCCATCCTCAAACTTCTAACCCTGTCCCTATTTTACTAATCTACAATCCCTAACTAGCTGAAAAGCTAAATTAGACGCTTGTTGATTGGAACATCTCTGCTGTTTTTTTGGTCCTTACTTGTGGTAATCTCTGACACAGTAGATTTTGTTTTCAGAGTCTACAGTGAATGGCACACCATCCAGACACTCATTGCAGACCACGCATCGGAAGCAGCCTGGATGATACGATTTCCCTAGAGCCTGCAGGATCTGCAGCAAACCAAGAGAGAGGAAAAATGCATGTGAATAGCCAATAAAGGTGAAAATTACAAACACACAGCTTTACACCAGACAATATATACCACGTATTCACCACATATCCATCAGCAGGGCTGTGTCTTTTTTCCCCACCTCTTCTGAAAAATCAGTAAAAAAGAATGGATACAGCAGCTGGAATCAATTTTTTTTTTTCCTGGAAATATATATCAATATATATTTCCTCTGGAACCAGCATCTGATTCCAGAGAAATCAATTATTACAACGGGTAAGAAAACAATCTAGAGACTCAATCAAGGTATTTAGCATGACAAAGGATAGAAGTGACAGAATTTAAAGGAAACAAAATAACTTCTGAAGCCAACAGGTAGAGAACACTTAGCAGGATCACAAGGAAAGATCTGCCAGCCTGACAAAAGGAAACATATCTTCATATTCTCCATGATAGGCTGAAAAAAATATTATTGCTAGGTTTCATAATTCCTTAGAAATTGCAGAGCTTTGTAGTCACTTGCCTGGCTTTCTAATAAGCACAGACTATGGAAACTGTGTTCAACTCAACAGCTGCAATTCAGCCTTGGGGGTAGCAATTACTACCTGGCATACCATGGTCCATCAGCAGAGGCATCAGACTTCTGAGTACAACATACCTTTTCCAATTTTAATGCTTTCCAGTGTAAGCAGGCAAAAAAAGATAATTAATGATAAGCATTAGAAAAATCTTGGGAGGTGTTCTATGAACCAGAAATTCCTAATTTCTTTTCCTCAGCTGTAGTGTTCCACCACCAGCTACACCAGTCTCCCCCTGAACAACCTCTAACTAAATGCTGCCCCTGAGCTGTTACCCACTCCACACTCATCTGGAATGGATGGGACCTGCCTAATCCTGCTTCAGCAGGATGTCCACAAATCTACAGAAGAGTTTGCAAGGACTTGGGCAGATGTGAACTGAGGTCTGGAGCACATAGTCTGTGCCAAACCTGTACTCCAGAGTATCAGCACCCACCAAAAGTGACAAAGAAGTGGCTTCAGCCTGAAGGTACATGGGAAGAGAGGCTGAGAGAGCTGCACTGATGCCTCACAGCAAGGGAGCACTGCTGGGATTTCAAATACACTGTCCAGGGCAGCCTGAAAGGGGATGAAAGAGCTCAAGGCTCTGCTTTTCAACAGGCACTGAAAACAGGCGGAGCAAAGTCTCTGCACCAGGCACAGCAGGGTGCCAGCTTCACTTCCTTGAAAAAAATCAACAAAAGGCTTAGTGGATTTCCCTTCTGCTACCAATCTCACACTAGGCAGACTACCAGATGATAACTGACAGTAATGGATATGAATATATTTTGCTTTTGATGCATTCTTCTAAAAAGCTGTGGGAGTTTTTTCTCCTGAGGCAATTATCACTTACCATGTCCATTATCAAATGACCACAAATGAAACACCTGTCAGCTGACTGCTGGAAACCAGAATACTGCAAGGACAAAGAAGAATTTGCTTAAAATTTCGCAAGGCCAGTCAAGCATAAACAACAGCGTATTGTGGGGTGTTATTTGCATATGTGTTATTGGTCCTTTTTTCGTGCTCCTGACACAACCTAAACTTTGCAATGCTTTTTTCATGATATGAAGGTGTGGATGGCTCCCCAGAGGAAATTCTATAAACACACCAGACTGCCCATGTTCAGAAGGAGTATGAGTTCCTGTAACTTCCAAGCCTGAAATTTAAGTTTATTAAGCAGAAAAGTAAATACCATAAATGCAAATGCAAATAAGGCATTTAGTAATAAGAGTTATTGCATGCTTATTTCACCACATGAATCTCCAAGCCAGGAACCAACTTGTGTTTATCCCACATTCATACCACAATATCTGTATATATAGGCTTGGAGAGCCAAATTCTTCTTTTGATTAGACCATTATAGTGCTATTGAAGCTTCTCTGAGGTCAGTGGTATTGTCCTAGCTCCCTGTTAGGATAACAATCAAGTTTGGCAACTTTTTTGCTGCTGCTGCTGAGATCTATCAGTAAGGAACTGTCTGTCGTGTCTATGACATGCACCTCAGGCACAGCACATCATCTGTCAGAATGGTGGAAGTGCAAATTTGAAAAATAAAATATTATAGATACATCAAAATAATCTTTTAATTTTCAGCATGTGTAGATATAATGACTAGAGCAAAGGTTAACTCACCTGTCTCTGATAGAACTACACCAATAAGTAGGCAAATACGACTTTTTCAAGTCTCAGTGAATGCTTAATCTATCAGGACTCGGAGGCAAGGACAGGATTGTGGGTTTGCTTCATGCTCATTTACACCACACAAAATCCATTGAGGGCAACAGAAAGATGTCCATTAAGTTGCCCAAGCAAACCCAGTCCACTGAAAAGGGAAATTCACTCATTCATTCTTCTGCAGCCATTTATCTTGCTTCTACTTCCACAGGATGGCCACAGAGACAAGCTTTTGAAGGAGCCATCACAACAGATTATGGCTTCAGCCAGGGGCTCTGCACCACAAAACCACGGCCTCTCACATCGATACTTCCAGCACTACATGTGGGCAGCCACCATGGCTGGCACTGGCTCTGGGTAAATGTTGGAGCAGAAGGGCCAGGCAGGATGCTGGACTAGAATTATGTGAAACACAGGCAAAGCTGACAGGCAGAATGGCTGCATGTCTGCTGGGGACACTGAGATGTGTCATTACAAGGGTCAGCTGGAGGCTTACCAGGAAATCTTCTTCACAGAACACCTTGCCATTGACAAAATAAAAGGCTTTTCCTCTCAGCTTTCGACCTAAGGGAAAAAAACCACAGAGATAAAAGAAAGGTCAGCAGAGAACAGGGAGAAAATGTGAACAAAACCTGGCTGCTGAGAGGCAAACAACAATAAAGACATCCAAGGACAGCCGCCACACAGCTGGAGAAGCACATCCAACCCCAGCACAGGTCTTCCCAGACTCCAGCCCCCATCTCCTCTTCCACTGGTGGCAGCTGATGAATCCCAGTTGATCCAGACAACAGTCCCACCTCTGGGTAGGAAGTGGTAGCTTTGCAAGCCTGGACCACCTCCTGGCAGATTACCACATGCATTATAACTCTGGGAAGACTGAGGATACTCTGACTCACACTGGAGAACACCCCAGGAGACAAAAAGGAGGAAAGCAGAAAGGGCACGCAAAGAGTGACCCATGCTTGACTTAATTCCTCAAAACATCACAACCTTGCTGTTTCACCGTGAGGTGCCTTCAATCAGCAGCTGCCAGACAAGGCACTGCAATCCCTGACCACCCGTTCCATCCCCAGCAGAGTGCAACACCAGAGCACTTAACAGGCTTCTCTGCTCCCTACCAGCACATTTGTTTCTGCAGCTGCCAACAGAAAGTTTTGAAACCATTAAATTTTTTTTTTTAAATCAGCATGTCGTAACAGAGACAAGATGACAAAGTTTTTCCAAGAAAGGACTCTAAATATGGAGAAGATTTGTATTTTACTGAAGCTTTTGTGTTTATGCCTCACATTCACCGTCTGTTTTCAGTTCCATGTAACTATGGCAATGTATGCTCACGCCACCACCACTCCTAAGCCCTGCCTTCCTCCAAGAGAAAAGGGCTAGGTTTTGTTTACTTATAAAAAGTGGCTCCTACCTCACTGAAGCCCAGTTTACCTACTCAGTCTGGGGTTTGAAATGCAGCCTAGCACTGGAACAGTTCTGTACTGGAGCCACAGGCGTGTGCCAAGAGACAGCACCCAGGGCAGAGGGAGCAGCACTGCTCGGGCACAGCCTGAGCAGGACCTGCTGGAGGCTGGTTTTGGAAGGAAACTGGATCTGAGACACTGTGGCCCAGATGCCTCCTGCTTTATTTGCTGCACATGGCCAGTACCAATGAAAAAGTGATGATCAGCTGCTGTGGACAACACATGGGCCTGGTCTGGGGGTCACATCTTGGTGCTTTATGGCAGGCACCTACCCGGCAGCCCTCGGCAAATAACCATGCTGGCTGCAAAGCGTTAAGAAAAGGAGGAAGCCAAGTAAAAGCACTTCAGTAAACTAACTACAATCTTTATCGTCTCCTGCAAACGCCAGAGGGCACTCTCAGGCTGGGAAACGACTGGGGAAATGGAGATGCTCCGATGAAGCTCTACAGTTCTGCCAATGAATTTAAGACCAGCATTTCACCAGCAGCCCTTAGTGCCCTGCCCAGGTTTCAGCCAGCGAGCCAGACGGAAGACAGGTAGAGGAACAACCCCGGCTTGCATGTGCAGGAGCTTGTTGGTTAAACCGTAGGCACTGCTCAGTCCCGTGTTTACTGGGCAGTGTAGGAGTCAAAAGCACACGGCTCCAGCACACTCGTTGTTCCCCATTCTCTTCTAATCCTTGCTGGGGACAGCCACATAACCTGGAGGCCAGAGATGACCCAGGGCAATAGCCCATCCTTGCACCAGTGCAACCACTGGATAGTACATGCGAGAAAACCAGACAAACCTGAAAGCATCCCACTCTCATTTTTCTTACCCTCCCTGATGTTGCCAAGGTTGCTGACACCAAAACATGACTCAGCCCAAAACATAAAGTGTCTAATCTTGGACATGGTATCTTTGTGGCTCATAACCCAGGGCGTGTATTTGTATGATAACCCCTCCTGTGTGTCTGCCTGTCCACAGGCAAGCCTGGTACATTCACCGGCAGTCGCAGGGTCCCAGTTTCTGAGGAGAGAAGGGAGAGGCATGGGGACACCTGAGATTTGCAGCAGCTTTGTCAAGAACAGTCCTAAGCAATTTAACAACAAGCCTAATGCAGCAAGAAGTACTCCTGAAAATCTCCTTCTGATTTAAATACAACATTGGTATTTGGCTCTCCTAAAAATGAAAAAAAAAAAACCAAACAAAAACATTTAATTTAAAGTATGCTGTAGTGTGAGCTCTGCACTCTCTGTTTAGTGCAACAGGAGGTGCTCAAGTGACTTTGCACCTGTATGCAACATCTCTCCTTAAAGGCAAGTTGAGAGTGGTGAGGAAAAACATACATGTGGGGCCATGGAATGAGGAGAGGCTTCTTTGAGAAAAGGCCCTGGCTGGTGCACGAGCAGCAGCCATTCCAGCAGAAGGGATGAGGTTTGGATCACTGCCACAACATCATTCTTCCACGGTGACAAAAAAAGCATTTACCAGCCATTCTGCACCCAGTGTATTTTTAACTCCGTGACATTAGCAGGTTAAGATTGATGGCAACAGACCTGCAGAGTAGGTGCCATTGCCAGCGTGCTGTGTCTGGGCTCCTGCTGCAAGCTCATTCAGCAGAGGGATAAACCTCTTTTATAAAGGATTTGTAAGTTGGCATTATGTGAGTCTGTGCAGAAGAGCTGACACCAAGAGCACTTCGAGGGAGGGCAGGGATGATTTAATTACTTTTTTTAGGGAAGAGGTGGGCATTTTAACTATTTTTATCTCCTCTCCACGACTCTCTTTAAGCCCCTGGCAGAAATGTAAAAGGAAACTTGCAAAAACCACAAGCGATCGGGTGCTCCTGCAGCCACCCTGGGAGCAGTGCCTGCAAACAGAGCTGATGTCTTCCTCTGCTGTCCTCAGCCTCTCCCTGCCCACTTAGAAATGGACTTCTCCCAGTGCGTCTTTGAGGTGAGGAAGTACCTTCTCATCATAAAACTGGGGAAGCAAGATGCAGGAAAAGCTCACTTCCCCAAGCTGCGCTGGGGACTGTCCCGGTGGAGCTGGGAAATGCATGTTCTGGCTGCGGCCACAGCAGTGAAAGAAACAGCACTGGGACTGCCCCCAGCACAGAACAGAGTGGCAGTGGCTTCTGTCCCTGTGCTGAGCTCCCTGCCATGGGACAGTACCTTAAACTAAACAAGTCCATCTCAAAAGCAATACTTCTGACTGTGCCTGCAGAGGCTGGCACAGGTTTCACTTGAGCACAGAGACGCTGTTGTTATTTTCACCAAAAGGAAGAATTAAGAACTTAAACGGTATATGAGTGATCACATACTGATCACTGCCTACGTTAAATATGCATCATGAAGACTACAGAGAGGATATCTTTTGAAAAACACAGGAATATTAATGCGTGGCTTGCTGCTTTCAGGATCAGTTGCTCTACGACATGTCTTAAACTGCTGGTTCCTGACTGTATTTCACTTTCGCTTCACCCTGAATTTAGCTAATCTCGCACCTGATAAAATTCAGACAATCAAAATTCTTCGGCATTTCAACCTTAATGTCGTCACTTGTTGTTACAAGATACCTTGTTCATCTCTCTAACAGAGTGTTTGAGCCCTGAGTTTTTATGTACTGCTCATCCCTTACACGTCTGTCTAATCTGTTTAGCTGTGAAACCTTCAGGATGACCTCAAGGTCATTTCAGCACCAATTTCAAAATATTTCAAGCTTAGTCACTAGTGCCTTTGTGCTAAAATAAACACACTTTGCTTAGCAGCTGATAATAGGCACACCATCAGGCAGCAATCCCAGGATGCTGATGCCTCTCTCCTTTTGAAGTTCATACAGAGGAGGGATTTACCAGGGACTTGCATTGGCCCAAGGAGGGTCTAGGGAGATGCATGATTTACTTGCTGGGGAGCTGTACTCAACTTTCTAAGCTGCTTTTCTATTTATTTATTTAAAGGACAATGGGATCACAAACCCATGTTCAATGACAAGAGATAGCTCTAAATGCCTACAATGGTACAGGGCCACATCCAGATCCCAGGGCTCTATAAGGATGCAAGACCAGGGCCCTGCATTGCTAGGGAGGCAGTGTGAGGACCTCACTTATCCCTTATCTAAGCACCATGGAACACCCTGTGGTATCTGCACAGCAGATGGGCAAAAATCACTGCTGACTGGCAGCTGCTCCCGAGTCCCTTACACGCTGACAGCCCTGGGCCTCTGTCGTTACAAAAATCAATCCTTTTCAGAGTACCACAGAAATTTGAGATAAATTTGGACATATGATTACTGATTTGAAGAAGCTCCTCCTCAGTCCTGAGTGGCTCAGGCTCAAGCTACAGCCCTTCCCTTGGTTTTCATTCTTCCCATGTGAATCTGTGAGGACATGGACTGAAGAACCTGCTCTGCTCCACGCACACTCTGCAGGCAGTAAAATGGGTGCAGCCAGAGCCCAGAGACCTTGGCTCCTCCCTGCCATCAGTCCCTGATGCCCTCAGTACATGAGACCCACCAGTTTCTGGCCAGCACGTGTGCTTTTGGAGCCTTCCATGGATACCTTGCTGACAGGCAGGGCAGTATGGTGTCCCACCATGCACTGCAGACCAGGCCAAGTATCAGAGAGCTCTACTTAATTTCTACCATCTGTCACTTTTCTGTTGGCCACCATTAAAGCTGGAGGCAGCACTGAGGCTGACACAGAAGTGTCAATACTTCCAATCTGGTCTTGAACTGGGCCTGCACAAAAGGGTCCCTTAAATGCCTGCACATCCTCCATGCTTATTCAAAATCAGGTAAGCTCAGACTGTGATCAACCAGCAGACATCCCAGGACAGACCACAGTCTTGGTGAAAACATGGGCAGGAGGATAGGATATCTCTGAGAAGAAACTGTGCTAGGTCACAGTAGCTCCACTACCATGTAAGATGTTCAGTCTGTCTCTCATCTACATCAGCTGTACAGTAAGATTGCAAAAAGAACCCTCTGTGCTCTTACCATACACTTCAGGCAGTAAAAAAAACAAACAACCCAACCAAAAAAACAAAACTCTGAGAAAAAGATCTAATGCCTGAAAAAGCCAAAAATATGCTCTGGCACACATAAGAAAGGTCAGCT